TGAGCTCAATAGGGTTTACGGACTGCACGAAGAGGATTCCAACGGCAATTTACTATCAACTGTCGTATGTAGTATTGTATTACTGCGCACATACTAGAGTTCAGAGTACACACACATACAGGGGAGTCTTTTAAGTAAATGGGCAAGGGTCAGGGGCATAACAGATAGGATTTACGCCAAAACTGGTGGATAACTCGGGGGGGCTACCATATATATATATAATATGTGTATGTAGATGTAAATGTATATTTCATTGATCTCAGAAAATTTGAAGTTTTTTTGGGCAGGTTATTGAAGATGAGAGCTTCGCAAGGGAATATTGCTACGAATTTATACTTCTCGAAAGCCTAAACCCACATCGCAGTCAAGGGAACCTGACCCCATACAGTAATATAGGGGCCTGAGCAATTACCAAGAGTCATACAATGGGGGGAGCCCCCAAACCCTATTCTAACTAGTAAGGCTGCGACATGAAACTCGGAGCACCGCCCAGATTCATGCCGAGATGATGAAAGAGGCACGCGCTTTCCAGGTTTAGGGTTTTCGAGGCCCTACACCCATACGCTGTACAGGTCCGGCTGTTAGGCTGGGGGTGACTTGCTTGATCAAGGGCATGTGGTTGGGGAGCTTTTCAGTTTTTGATGGAACGATGCTACGAGTTTTCGAACTATTTGCCCACTGTTTTGGTGTGGTATCGGTTTGTCTTGTTGCCTGCCAAGTTGATTTGCAGCTAGCAAGCTGCAGCATCCGCTTTTTCTTCGACAGTGCCTGCATGGTGTGCATGTGGCAGGGTACCACTGCTTCCTGTTAGGAAGGAGACGACCTGTGCACTCACGGTCGACTACGGCAGACTGTGAGCGGTATATTACCATTTAGGGCTACGTTTCGATACCTGTATATGAACAAGAGTTATGCCGTTGTAGACCCCAGCAGAATAACGAATGCCCAGTGGTAGTAGCAGCAGCAGCAGCAGTGTATGCGCAGCAGCAGCAGCAGGATGCGGCGGAGGAGGAGGAGGAGTAATAGTAGTCGTGGTGGTGGTGGTGGTGGCGGTAGTGGTAATAATAACAGGATAACAGCAACAGTAATAACAACACAATAACAATCATAGAAGTAATAACAGGAGCAGTCATGATAATAACAATAATAATACTGGTACTGCTACTGCTGCTGCTACTACTAATTACTACTACTATTACTACTACTACTACTACTACTACTACTACGACTATCACTACTGCTTCTACTAATAGTCACGATAATAATGCAACTATTAGTAATAATATCGATAGTAGTCACGATAATTAATAACAATAGTCACATTTATCACAACAGCAATAGCAATAATAATACCAATAGTAATACCCAATAGTGATAATACGAATAATGCTAGTAGTAGT